ACCTAGTAGTACTGGACAGTCAATTATTTTGTTTTAGTTTGAAATTGTTCATCATTACACAGCCACTGAGCTTCGAAGGCAGGACCTTCAGGTTAAAAGGCGAGATCGTGGATCGATCATTCAGCTACTATCCAATTGTCCAAGAATTTCGACTTCTGACAATTTGCGATCATATTAATAAGAATGAGTACGTCGTCATCCCTATGTGAACAACTTTGAGCCACTTCATCAGGTCCTAGTTACCAATCATCAATTAAAACCTAATGATCTCAGGCAAATGAACTAATCTATCTGAACTGACTCAAATCAACAACTGACTAACAAAAGGATACGTCTCTTGTTTTCATCTAGTCGTCTTTAACCACTCTCCAACTTATTCGTATAGAGGATTTGAAACTCAAATGGATGTCATTGGTGTTAATGTATATTTAAAGCTGTATAAGTGAATTAATTTGTCGTCAATAAAAAATGGTGCCTAGAAAGGATGTGAACCACCTGAGCTACTGTCAGTCTCTATCATTGAAGACCGAAATGGTTTGAACGTGGAAGGCTAGATGCATTTATTGTTTGGGGACAGATTAAATCAGTTAATTGCATGGAGGATTTCATCATGAGCTGATATCAGTTAGAGAACCAGTGGAAAACCTGGGAGTACTGGACAGCTGTTTCGTCCTGACAGGAGTTAGAATTCATAGGGCATTGAATGGCGTCTCAATGGCTTAATGGTCAACGAGCTTGCTAGCCTTGTAACCAGAAGGTTGGGTTCAAACCTCGATGAGTGCGCAGTGATAAAGCGTCCCAAACTAGGCTGACGAAACAGCTGTCCAGTACTCCCTTTGGCTGGTTTTCTAATGGTTCTTCAACCGATGTCAGTTCACTATGAGATCCAGTAAACAATCAATCGAATCCCTCTACAAACTAACACCTGAATATGCGTTTTTATTGTATGTGTACTCTGAAATTAAAATACATGAGAAATTTGAAATTTTTTTTCAGTTTTACAAAATGTTTTTCATAAGTGTATTTGCATGTACGTGTGAGTGTGTGTGCGCGTGTGCTTGTGTGACCTAATAATTATTAAGTAACATGAATTAATGTATAATATGAGTACATTTCACAGCTAACGTTTCTCTTCACTTCACTTCTCTCCTCTCATCTATTTCTTTCTCGGTTATTTCTGTTTGATCATTCCTTTAGACACACACACACACTACAATATTTCATCCCTTTCATTTATCCAGAGCGCGTTTATTTTCTTTTCAAATGATGCGCTGTTGCGTTAAATTTACTATTGAACATTGAACACATTGAAAATAGTCACAGTCATGTGATTCCGTGAATAGATTTTGAAGATCATAACACTAGTGTTTTTTAATAGTGTAGCAATGCCAATTTAAAAGCTGACATTAACATGATTAAGCGAAAATAATGCAAATTACAATTAAAAAAAAACAAGAACAACAGTGGTTTGAGCAAGATTAGATGGTACCATAATTGTTTATTTCGTTGGCATTTCATCAGAGGCGGTTGCTGCTTACAGCCTAAAGATATTTATTATCAAGTTCATGTACAGAAAAAGTTTAACATACTTGTAAATTTTACATCATGTCAGTTGACAGCAGGTTCCACAATTAGTGAACACTGCTCATAAAATTGCGCTGATATGGTTTTTACACAGGGATTTAAAGTTTAGACACAATAAATGTATGCATACAATGGCAACCAAGTTACGTAATAAAGACAAGCGCTTAAAGCCAAAGATTACATAATCAGATGAAAAGGCAAGAGGATAAATACATCCAGTTATCAGGATGGGTAAGCAAAGAATGACAACTAATTCTTTCCTGAACACATAAATCGGGTTTGAGGCGTTTGATAGAGATTTCCGCCTCAGCAAACGTAAGGAGAATTGCGCCTTTTTGTCTATTGATAATTTTAAAAGAATTTGCAATTTCCATCGCATGACCCGTATCAAGGAGATGACTGGCGATGGCACTATTGTAAGCGTGTGTTCTCTTGAGAGAAACGAAGGCTTTTCAGTTCAAGTTCAGAAAATTGGAGGTGTTTGTGCCCTTTTTCTTTCTGTTCTCCCAATGCAGCTAACTGCTCCCACACACACACACGTAAATGTGTACACACAATCTGTCGACTTTTGACTGCACCAAGAAGCATGTTGTCTGATAGACGGGAACCAACTTAGCTGCAGAATGGGCTGTGGGTAGTGAAGCGCTCAATCTTCAGTTGACTATTGCTGCAGTATTCTCACCTTTAAAATCAAGCTGAATGAAGACAGGCTTTTTCCTCACTGTGATTCGTTTGATGTTTGAACCTTCACATTTTCCGTACTTGTTAATGAATTTCTGGGGGTAGTCGTTGTTTTTCACACATTTCGCATAAATTTCTTTGCATGACATAGTTCCTCAAAAATCATACTTATACGACTAATAATAAATCCAAGTGTAATCACGGAGTGATTTCAGCCAGAGTATCATTAGAAAACCGGGAAGTATTGGACAGCCAACTGTTTCGTCCCAATTTGGGGCTCATCGGCGGCACATACCCACCGGATTTCAAACCCCGGGTCTTCTGAGTACAACGCAAGCTCATACATCTTCAAGCCATTTCGGAACCATCTCAGTAGTCAGTCCACGAATTCTAATTTCCACCAATTCCTGATTTTAGCGCGACCTCCGGAAAGTGTCATAGCTCGCGAGTATTTTTCCTTATTCTCAACCACGCGGATCCCACTGGTCGCGACTTCGCACTAGAACTCCAGGCAACGTCCTCCTGCAACCAGTCACTAGCCGATGAGTCCCAAACCGGGACGAAACAGCCGGCTAACTAGTACTTCCTGGTGGTTTTCAGTGGTTCTGTAACCAACATCAATCCCTGATCAAACTTGAAACGAATCGAATCCTTACACATAAACTCTTGAAGTGGATCACCTTGCCGATCGATTGGACTTTTAAATTAATAAAAGAATATATAGATAATGATTTATGATTATATATGGTCAAAACTTAGTTTAGAGTGGAATTGAAAGGAAACAAGGTTTCTTTTTTGTCTAAACACTTCTTTCACTGCTGACTTTCCCTATGACGTAATATACAGTCTGTACGCTAGTTAATTCTTTCATCAGAGGCAGACATTCGATGTGTTATATAAGTAGACATTGTAGGAAATTCAATTGTTACGTAATCAAATTGTTTTACCTTATTGTTACCACTGTCTGTCTTTTTGAGAGAGAGAGAGAGAGGATTCACCTTATCATTGAAAGTCTAATTTATATTGCGTAGGAGAAGGGGCGTTCATTGAGGAGTTACTCTTTTTGGTGAAATCTTCTTCAAGCTGTACTATTCTATATATGTATATAGTACATTCTCATGACGATAAAAGGCATTTATCGTGTGGAATTCCGTTGACTGAGAGGTACTCTAGTGATGTTTGTCTGTGAAGGGAATGCCGAGAAAATACATCGCATTGATCAAGATACTCTACTAGCACTCATGCAACCAGTTAGGTGAGAGGCTGTAGAAAGTTTTCATCTGAAGTGGTGACAACCAGTGATGTTCTTCATAGATGCTCTGCCCACTGTCCCCATATCTATTTAATTTCATCATAGATTTGTGTGCTAATGAAGTTAACTGTAACTTACTTCAATGCGTCGCGGTGGCACAGCGGTAAAATGCTTGCCAACTATGCCCGATGTGGTCCGAGGTTCGATTCCTGGCCACTAGACTCACTCCTTTACACCTCGCTAAGTCAGTTAATAGACTGGTCAAGAAGGAAGGTTGGGTATGAGGATGGCTAGGAACCCCATTTCATAAAAATAAACACCACTGCCACCGAAACTTCAAGCCTGTAACTTGAAAGTGCTCTATGTTTCACTGGGAACGTAAAGGAATGGAAAAAAAAATTCTTCAGTGACTCAAGGATTGATTGACTACCAGGGAATAATCTCGTTGACTTAGAATATGCAGATGTAGTGATGTAGTCCTTCTAGATGAGGACGCTAACATAATGTAGAGTCTTCTGAACACCTTGAGAGGCTTCGATCTTCGAATGTTTGGCATGTGATTCACTCCCATTGTCAAATGTAAGATGATGCTACAGGATTGGAATACATTGACTCCTAGCCTAAAGATATCTTTTATTCCTTCACGTCACCAGTGTGGAATATTGGGCACCTTCAAGCTTGAGGCTTGAAGTTTCTGTAGCAGTTTTTAATTTTACAGGATAGAGTTGCTAACCTCATGCCCAACCTTTCCTCTTTACCAGCTTCATTACTACTGGCCTAGCGAGGTAAGGGAGGAGTGCATCCCGTGGCCGGGAATCGAACCCCAGACCATGTGCATGATAGGCGAGCGTCCTAACCGCTGCACCACTGACGTACAGCTTAAAGATAGGGAGTGAAATAGTTAACCGCTTCACTTATTTAGGGAGTTGGATCAGCCAACGCTACTTTTATTTACTGTCAAAGGAGAAACGCATTACAAAAGTGTTCAGTTTTCAAAATGCTCGCCAACCACATGAGGTGTCCGGGTTCGGTCCCCAAGCAACGCACTCCACAAGCTAAGCCCGAACAAAGTGGGAAATTTGAGCCTGATGGTTAGCGCGAACGCACCTTAATAAACCAACACCACTGCTTCAGAAACATCAAAACTCATAGCTGGAGGTCGTATATTTTCTACTTGGTAAGCTTGGTATCCCTTAGTAAAGACGGTTGAAAAGTTGTTCTGTCGGCTGAATAAGGATTATGAGCAATAAACTATCCTGGAGACACAGTAATCCAACAGGATAAAACACTTCATAGCTGAGATCTTTTACACCAGATAATAATAATAATAATCAAAAGAAAACGATTTAACTGACCAATTGACCAATAAAAATAATACGATAATTATCGCCAACGCATTGTGTATGTATTACACATGTGCACATGCGCACACACATTCATACATACATTGATAGACATATAGATACATACATAGATGGATAGACAGATATACAGACAGACACTTTAAGGTCATTCGTTGACATTTCTGAAGAAATAGTTGTAGTCGTAATATATATCTATAAAATTATAATTACAGACACCAGAGGGTATTTCTTTCATAAGCGGAGACCGTTCGAAAGTGTCTATATACTTCACAAGCTCTGGTGACAGGATACAAATACTATTTGAGGATTGTTATACTTACTACTTACTACTGACAGTGATCTATATATATATGTATAGCGTCTGATTTAGGTGAGTAATTTGGGGCCTTTTCCGTTCATTATGTGTTTTTTTTACTACCTTCACGTTCCCAGTGGAACATAGGGCTTCAAGCTAGTGGCTTGAAGTTTCTGTATCAGTGTTTATTTTTACAGGATGGGGTTGCTAGCCTCATGCCCAACCTTTCCTCTTTACCAGCATTGTTTCTGTCTTAGCTGGGTAAAGGAATGCGTCTGTGGCCGGAGATCGAACCCCGGACCAAGTGCATGGTCGGCGACCGCTCTAATCACTGTGCCACCGACGCACGGTTCTCTCGTTAGTTAAGACTTAATCACGTAAAAGGTGTTTTTTTATTAAAATGCACTCAGTTTAATCTGTGAGTAATTCTATGTGATTGTAACGGTTTTTGACAGATTGTAGAATATCAATCTAGAGAAATTTCCCATTTACACAGATTTCATTTTTCGACAGTTGATTTTGTAAGGATTAGTTTTAATTTTTTTTACTAGTTGGTCACAGATTGATATCAGTTAGAGAACTATTGAAAATCAGCCGCAGGGAGTACTGGATAGCCAGTTGTTTCATCCTGGTTTAAGGAGTCACCGGCAGTACACACTCACCGCCAAGGTTCGAACCCAGCACCTTCCGGTTACAAGGCTTGGAGTCACGCTAAATCACGAATTGATAGAAGTTAGAATTCATGAGCTGGCTAATGGATCAGGTCCCAGTGACTGAATGGTATATGAGCTTGCCTTGTTACCCACAGATCCTGGCTTCGAACCCTGGCAGTGGGTGCGTACTACCGATGATTCCCAAAAGTAGGATGAAACAGCTGTCTAGTAGTCCTTGAGGCATGTTTTCAATGGTTCTCTAACTGATATCACTCCGTGATCAACTCGTATAAACAGATTTTATTATTATCATTATTATAATTCCCTTGGGTCTCGAATAGGATATAGTTCTCTTTAGCTAACCTCACGATTGCTCATTATCTCTCATCTCCTACTCGTCTCACGATCTCCTCAGTGTCACCCTCGCAATGACAACCCACTCGTCGCTTCCTATTCGGATTCCACCCGAGCACTAGCTTGCAATGCACACTGTCTCATTCGAAAGCCTCCTCAAAGTATACCCGATCTATCCATCTGTATTTAGTCCTACATATTGGCTGAAAAATCGGCTCTTGGTTGGTTTATTACCAGCCAGAGTTTTTTTGTTGCTAATTATTTCTGGCCGACTGGTCATTCGGTCTTCAGAATGGAGCCAGCCAGGAATGGCGACAGCTGTTGACAGAAGTCAGTAGTGACCTTTTGGGAATCCTCTTCGTCACGGGTGCGCAATACAAGTTTTTCACCCATATAGAAGTAGTGACTGGCTAACTTCTCATTTGTTTTCAACAGAATCCGAATCTTGTTGTTTAAGCTGAAGCGGAGCGCAGAAAAAATTTCCTAACTGGTTTCAGATTGATGAAGGAGTATCTTGCTTTTCCGATTCTGGCTGGCTGGCTGGCTTTGATCTTTTGATCCGTGGTATCCACCTGTGGTTGAGACTGTGCTTGCTTGCTGTATAGGTGAAGGCAATAAGTAACCTTTGTCAAATCTCTCCCGCTGATGGGGATTGGTGCTGGTTGTTCTTGCTGTTTCTGTCAGTGGTACATGGTTATCTTCATCACCTCCGTCTTCTCTATGTTTGTTCACCTATTGTCCTGTCTTCACCGCCTACTACTTCAACCAATTTATTGATTTTCGCCCACAAGTTTGTGTACCATTAAACATAAATCAACCACCTTTTTTCAAAATTCAGATCTTATAGAGTCTTCTTCTCGGTGATTTTGACGTAAACCTGTCTTCTGCGTCGGTGGCACAGTGGTGTTAGGACTCTCGCCGACCATGCACATAGTCCGAGGTTCGATCCCCTGCCAACGAAGCGCACCTGATATCTATGGTCGGCCTGCAAAATTTGGGCTACTTATTTCCATGCTGAAAATTCCATACTTGTACCCAAAAATACAGTGTGTAATCAAGCTGTAACCAAAAATAAAAAAATTTAATAAAATTCTCATTCCCTCTATGCACACTGTTCCTCATAAATCCAGTTCAGCACAATTAAGAATATTATCGATTGAAGGTATCCTCCATCTTTCTAAGCTATTTACAAACCTAACACAAATATGTCTTAATTTTAGTTCATCTGCAATCGTATATATATATATATTAATAACCGAATATTGTCAACCGAATATTCTTCTATTTTCTTCGAAAATATGCACTTTTGTGCTGCTAAAACAATTAATTAATTAATAATTTTTTTACTATTCGTCGTCAACGTTCTTCTGCTTTTATTTTCATTACTGGGGGACATTTAAGAATTTTTGTATCATATATATACATATATATGTATATTTTCAAGTATTGGTTTTGTAGGAATTTGATTTGATCGGTTGAAGGATCTCATCATGAGCTGACATCAGTTAGAGAACAATTGGAAAACAGGTAGTACTGGACAACCAACTGTTTCATCAGCGTGGTTTGGGACTCTTGACCAGTACGCTTCTGCTGCTAGGGGTCGGACCCAGGACCTTCTGACTACAAGGCTAGCAAGCTCGTAGACCATTAAACCACTTGGACCCTATCCAATGGGCAGCCCATGAATTCTAACTTCTGCCAATTCACTTGTAACCAAGAGAGTCCTTGGTTAGAACCCCGGTGGGTACATACTGATGAAGAGTCCCAAACTAGTCTGACGCAACATCTGTCCAGTACTCCTAGTTGGTTTTTCAATGGTTCTCTAACATTTATATATATATATATATATGTCCAATTTATATTCTTAATTTTGCGTTTAATTAGTTACTATAGCTCTCGTGTCTCTCAAAATGTGAGAATTGAAAAATAAATAAATCTAAAGTCAATCTGAACGAAGAATATTCTTTTCAATAAATTCTCTTCTTCAAGTTCTTACAATTATAAAATATAGTATTTGTTTGTTTTCGTTACAACAATGGCCATTTAGACGGCCGATACTTTTTTCTAATGCAGAATATCAGAATAGTTATGAGGTGACAAAATGAATAGTAGTATGTATTTGTGTGACAAACGTACTCTGGGCTGAAATAGGAGACAGTTGTGGTGACTAGTCATAATTAATTCGTTAAATGTTGGCTAGGAAAAATTGACAAGTCAGTTCAAGGTTATAAAACGTGTCATGTGAGTGAGTGGCTAGTACAAAGTAGTATGGTAATAAAAGAGGAGGATATAGTAAGACTGTAGTGGGAGGTTCATCATGAAATGACCAATATGTTAAGTGAACAAACAGATGGTGAAAAATATTTAGTAAAGAAGTATTATCACTAATAGCAAGTCTGGATGGTATAAATGGAAAATTGGATAGCATTGAGAGAAGGGTTTAATGACTTTGATGCAATTTTAGATTTTCCCATCGATTGATTGGACCGAAGTGCTCGGTCACAGGTTGACATGTCGGTCGGCTTCTTGTGCAGATGCTTCGATGATGTCTGGGTATGTAGTTAGAATTTAATTGGTGGATGGTGACTAGCAGTGGAATTCACGATAAAGCGCATTTCGACCTATTTGGGACTCGTGGTTAGCTGGATGTACATGCATTCCCCAGTAAGTGATGATGTTCCCACCGAGGCTCGAACCCAGTGTTTTAATGACGGTTATAAATTATGACAAATAATAATAATAATTGTAATAATAAGCAAAGAAAAAGAAAAAAATTCCCAGAGGGTTAAGGGGAAGAGGGACTGTTGTTGAAAGAAAGCATTAATGCAAGTTTGTTCACTGTAGGAACAGAGTTTGGACATGTATTTTTTCGATAAAAAGTTCCGGTTTATTCGAACAGCTTCAGCTATTTGTAGGTGACGTGTGAACGAAATGTACGTGACAACGATCTCGGAATTTGGCATATAACCAATGAATAGAAATCAGCTCCATAAAATATACAGAAGCAGAAATCTACTTATCATTATTGCAGTGTTAATATTATTAGTATTCCCTTAGGTTCCCAGTGGAAGATCGAGCTTCATAAATACAGGTTGATTTCACTCTTTTCTCTGTAGTCTTCTTTAACGTGGTCCCACACGACTTCTTTTTCTTCTCACATGCCTGACTCTTTGCTTCTCATTCATATTTCACCTGAGAACCTGTCACGTGATATCACTCAACGGTATCCTCAGTGTGTATGTCAAATCTACCTTCATTTCCTAGCATATTGTTCCGTGTTAATAACTCCTTCTGACCACGCGATCTTTAGTATTGGGGAGATTGGCAGGTGTAGATGAAAATCTGTATAAGTCTAGTGGAAATAATTTCCTTGACGCGTACACCATATTTCTTAACCATGTTAGAAGCATTGAATATCCGGATCCTGTCTTTTATGTTGAGTGCAACAGATTACCCCACTGATTTCAGATGAATGAAAGTCTCTCTCTTAGTTTTCCGATTCTGACTGGCTTCGATATCTTTATGTTAATAAGAGAATTACAATTAGAAATTATAATGCCATAATAAACAGGGCGATGAATAAAGCTCAGATAAAGTAGCATCATAATTACTGAGAAGATTGACACTGATTGTGCAATTAGGGGTTAGAACATCTGGTCGATTCAGGACATTCAGTGCCTTTGAAGAAATCTTTCAAAATAATATACAAGATTCGATCAAACCTATCAAAGGGTGTAGGATTAAGACATCTGGGCGTAGCTGAGGGGGCACTAGCCATCCAAAAGCTCAAACCCACGCTTTGTGTCCAAACGTAATACGCCCAACCCTTGTCCCTGCCATGGCCATCATAACACAGGTAATTCTTCTAATAGTGACTGTCCCATTGCCCTTCTTATCCAAATCACCTGTTTACACATGGTATTTTTAGTTTTTCTTTATCCCTATTTACACTACCATATTTTCATATCCGAACTTCCTGTCCATTTTTTGTTATTTTATTATTTCGAAATATTTAATCCCTGATTGCATAAACAATTATTCGTCACATTAGGTATGATCCCACTAGATTTTTTGACCCAAACATCCTGTCTATTTTTGTTATTTCTACATTTCTAACCCCCAGTTGCACAATATGTCAATCGTCTCAGTAATTACGATGCTACTTTGTTTGACGTTTGTCCGTCCCCCCTGTTTATTATGTCATTTTAATTCTATTAATCCAACCCTTGACCAGAAATTATTCTGGAACTTTCCTACCCATTTATTATATGCCGTCATATGTCCCACCTGTAGTTGGATCGATTAATTCATGCCTGTTATTGCCATAGGTTAGGTATCTGTCTTTTCTCTATGTTCATATTGAAGTCCTACGTCCACTGTCTCTCCTGCCAACTTGTTAGCTGACTGTTTTTATATCCCAAGTGACAAATAATCTTGCGAAATGAAATATGAGTCACCGAATGATTAAAACCAACAATGACCTTCAACTTAATACTTCATAACTTTATTATTATTATTTCCTTTAATTCCTAGAGGAAGATAAAACTCTCCATTGCGTTCGGTTCTCTGCTAAAGTTTTCATCTGGCTCCAAGTTTGCCCAAATGCTTTCATCTCCTCTTCACATGACCTCCTCCAAGTCACCCTTGCACTGACGACCAACTTGCCGCTTCCCTTTCGGGTTCCACTCGAGCGATGGCTTGTCTAGTCATGTCACTTGATGGTTTCCTCAGAGTATGGCCATCCAATCCATCTCCATTTTTTCCTGCTTATTTGTTTCACAGTCGGTTCCTGCTGGGTTGGTTTGCTCATTGCCGGAGATCCCTGTTGCTGATTTTTTCTGACCATCTGATCTTGAGTATTGAACGAAGACAACTGTTAATGAAGGTCTGAAGTTTGTTGGAGATGCTCTTTATGATGCGCTGGCCAAGTCTCTGATCCGTATAGTGAGTAGCATTGACTGACTTCACATTGGAGTTGAAAATCCGGATCTTATTTTCATGTTGAGTGCTGAGTGCTGTTGACTTCCACACAGACTTAAGACTAATGAAACCTTGCCTTGCTTTTCAGATTCTGGCTTTGATATCCTCGTCAGTTCTGTGCGCCTGTAGTAGAAACGATGCTTCCCAGGTAGGTGGGTAGGTAGGTAGGTAAAGGAGGTTGTTGCTTTCAGGTTCCTCCCATTTATGCTGACTGTCGTCTGTTGTTGTTGTTGTTGCTGTTGGTGTTGGCCAGGAATCGTCATCACCTCTGTTTTATCTATGTTCACTTGAAGTCCTATCTTTGAAGCTTCTTCTGACAGCTTGTTGCTTTTCACTTGCATATCTTCCAGTTTGTGGGAAATCCTTTATTTGTCACTTTGTTTAATTTAACTTTTCCATATATATTGACTTGACAAGTAAATATGTGAGGGATCAGATTGTTCGAAATGTATAACGCAAATACATCAAATCGTTTTTCAGATAATCTCCGTCTTCAAATAATGCTATCGAAATGAAATATGAGTCATTGAAGGATTATTATTTTTATTTTTGATTACAGCTTGATTCCACACTGTATTTTTGGTACAAGTATGGAATTTTCAGCATGGAAATAGGTAGCCCAAATTTCGTGTTCATCGGCAGGGGATCGAACCTCGGACCATGTGCATGGTCATCGAGAGTCCTAACCACTGTGCCATCGACGCACCGAACAATGGTGACCTTCAAACTAATACTTCAGAACTTTACCAATTGACAATCGATACCCAACTTGCTAACCATGTTATCGGTTGTTTCACATCAATACAGATTACGTTCAGCTTAGCGTGTAATCAAAATGTCGCCAATTATCCGAATCTTTTTCATCTTCTATTACTTTTATTAATTTTATCCAATAACTTTTTTTATTTCTTTTCTTCTGTTTTCTAAAACTATTTTTCAGAAACATTCCAAAAAAAGCCTGTAATCAAAATGAAATATTGATTATTCACAATAAAACAAAAAAAGAAAGATTTAGCATACATTTTGGAGTTCATTAAATAATAATAATAAAACTATTTTTTATCGATCCATTAAAAAATTATTAATAATTAATTATTTAATTGAATAACAATAATAATAATAAAAGGAAGATTATTATAAACATTCACTGTGATCCGGATTGAACAATTTCAAGTTACATATATACACATATACATACATATATTTTTAAAACAGAAAAAATCAATAAATCAATAAAAAGAAAATAATAGTAATAATAATGATTTCCCAATATACTCACTTTATCCTTCCTTTCATGTATTCAGCTGATCACATTATAACGACTATTAAACATTATTGTCAACAATAGTTCAAATAATATTAATATTTCATAATTATAGAATGACATTATTAACTATGCTTTTATCGACGACACATGTTACATAATCTGTACGCTTCAACAAAGTGCTAACTAGCAAAAGGGAAGCAAAAAAACGAATAATATCAGAAAAAATAAACTTTAAAATTATTGATTATCCATAGATATTGGGATCAACTTCAACTATGTAATTAGCATCATCATCAATAATATCAATCAATAATTAATCGATATTATTATTACAAAACAATGAGTGATATTACCAATAATAATACTGTTATTGTTCAAAATGGTACTGTTGGCTTGAGTACCGGAGCTTTGGTTGGCTTAATCATTGGTCTTGTGATTATTTGTACAATAATCAGTGAGTTTCATTTTGTATATTCATACATTATTATTGATATTGTTACAATTATTAAACGTTCCAAGTGGTTGGTACCTTAGAGCCTATAGCATTACATATCCGTCGTACTCAACTGTGTAAGTTTGACTGCTTCATGACCTGTCTTCAAGGTTTCATTCCTGCTTCACATGATCTTATGCAGGCTGTCAGCCCCCTCTCCCAATCAGATGAATACTCAACCTATGGCTTTCCATTCGCCTACCACTAGACATCTTGGGCGTGTCTTCTTTATCTCCGCTACTTTCTGCATATCGCTTTAAAAAAATAGGATGTTGGTTGATTCACTTTGTATGTCACACTTTCTCGTTGCTTATCTTTTCTGGACGCCTGATGATACTCATTATCGAGTGAAATCGGATGTTGATGAAAGTCTAAGCATATACATATAGAGTTGAAAATAGCTTCTGTGGCAGACTGACACTAACTGACAGTATTGATTATTCTTACAATGCAAACTTGGTACAACATGGTACCCCCATCTCCGAGCGTTCCTATAGTCTCCAGTGACTACAACAGGTTCATACACGATTCTATGCTTTCGGATTCTGGAGCCCATGTATACCATACGTGTCCTTGTCTGATCTGGAAGAGGCACTGAATGTGTGACCATATGGAAGCATTCTGAAGAGAAAAGATCGAGGCCTGATCACCCTGAGGCGTACTAGGTCGTGTGTTGGAGGCGATATTAGATGAAGGAGTAATTGTAGAACCAAAAGTACTTCGTAATCATTTCTGACGCATTGATGTATTCACCCATGTCTGAGTGACTTTTATTCATTCTTGCAAGTGAATTGACGATATATACACATACCAAATTGGTGACTATGAGAATCTTTCTTCTTAAGTGGTGAAGTGAGGTTGTGTGAGTTAAATTGTCTGTCGGTTTAAATAGATCCTTGAATTGTTAAATTAGGAAAATATTTCAGTCACCCATTAGAAGACTCAACACAATGGACATTAATTTCAACCGGAACAGAAGTTATCTCTATAATCTAGTATGTCATCAGTAACCTGTCATATGACCTTGGAATTCGTCTCCTGTCAGTAGTCAAAAACGGTCGTCATTAGTATTAGAATCCCTGATCTCATACATGATAAGTGAAAACTGAGCAGTCGTGAAAATTTTCCACTATTAGCTGTTTCACTCTAGCTTACACTAGTGTTGATTTTCACTTTACTAGTGGCAAAAAGATAGAATGCTCGTTAATCAGGCGTCACGTGGTCTGTAGTTCGATTCCCCGCCACTAACGCACTCCAAGACCTCGCCCAGTTTATTTACTAGCCTATAATTAACTCCATAGAAAGAGGATGTTCGGCATGTGAATAACAACTCCATCGCATAAAGTAAACACAACACCACGCCTACTGAGACTTGAAGGCTGGAGCCTTATACTCAACATTTAATAAGAAGGAGTTAAAATCAGTACTACTGTAACCACAAGGATTGATCTACGCATTTTTATTTTTTATTTTATCTACTTACCTTCCCAGTTGAACATAGGGCCTCAATCTAGAGCTTTGAAGTTTCGGTAGCAAGGGTCTTTTTTACAAGGGTGGGGCTGATAGCCTCATGTCCAAACTTCCCTCTTTGCTAGTTTTAATGCTGACTTAGCTAGGTAGAGGAGAGTGTTGGCCAGGGATTGAACGCCGAATCACATACATGGTTGGCGAACATTCAACTGCTTGGCCGCCGACGCAATAATCTATACAGTGAGATATAAAGTTGATTAGTAAACAGGAACATTCATTAAAATTTTCAAAAGAATGGATACTGAACAAAGAGTACTCTTTTCGATAACCTCTTCATCATCAGGCTCTACTGTTATATATACATTATAGTGAATGAATGAATTAGTGTTAAAAACGACATTAATGTTGTTTAAATAACATCGAATCAATAATATTGATAGATTACAGCTAAATAGCATCAACATTGAATAAGCTGAATGGCAGACAGAGAAATTAGGAAAGATAATATTACAAATTCATGAATTTATAGTCTCTATTGAAGGCCGGCCAGGGAAGTAGTAGTGGCTAGCTGGACTTGCTTCTTTTGAGCACAGAGAACCGGTTGTTTGAGGCGAATTGCAATAGACTCTGGTGTTCGAAGCATGCGGTGCTTCGATGATTTGGCAATATATTAGGCACCCGGTAGATGATAGAGAAAGATTCTTCTACGCTGACTTTGTGGCTGGTTTGCACCAGATGGTACAGTATCGAGCTCTTAATGGTTTTCACTGCACCTTTACTGAGCCATATTGGGAGATATTCTTGAGCACAAAAAATCAAGTTCCCAGAGCAACGACCAATATAACTCCCTTAACTACAAGCGCAGTTGAATTGGTAGATACAATTTGAAGTGGCTAGCTAATCTAGGTACTTCATCTTTCAGTCGAGGAATCCCCATCGGTCGTGTAGAGAATAATACGTGTAGTTCACTGCCAGCATTAAAAGATCTTTGAACTGATTTTCTTAATTTCTTCGTGATTATTTCACTTGGTATATCGCGCATGAATTGTAGTCGTATATAAATAGTGAGTAGTCCTTTTCCGCCGCTTTCTTTGTCATGTGTTTCTTGATAAATTTGTCGGGATAGCTATTTTCGATCAAAGTATCATATACACAATGCTTCATTCATCTTCAATTACTTCTTCTGAGCATATAGCTTTAACTCTCTGACTGAGGGTCTTCATTAAATTTCTTTTGTACTTGATAGGAACGAAGCTGTGAAAATGTATGTATATTGTCCTGTCCATGTACTTTTTCTATGCAAATTTCTTTTTATGCTACCATCTGTCACTATTTCCCCGTCTAGCTCTCTCTCTCTGTCTAGCTGTCTGTCTGTCTGTCTCTATCCACTTATAAAATGAAACAGGCTTGAACCAATATGCTTACATGTAATGCACAACGCATATTGTAAATACAAAAGACTGATTTACACCTATGACAAAAAGCCAAAGTGATTATAACGGCCATCTTTGTAACCACATTAGTTATCTGGCTATCTGGACTCCATATTTCGGTCACATGTCTGACAAGAATAAACCTAGTTATAATTCTGACAGCTGATTGATCCTTTTTTAGTTAGAAAACAGAAAGATTGAACAGCGAAGAAATATTTTACTTTTCAATTAGATCCTCATCCTACTCCAGCTCTACTCTAATATATAACGTATAGCATTTTTATTATTACAATACACAACAGTTGACCAATCAAGTGGCATGATATGTTTGTTAACAATAATTAGTCAGTGTCAAAATGTCAATGGGTTGATAATTAACGAAGACAATCAATACACATTTAAAAGGTAGAAATGGATAGAATAAATTAATTTTACAAGGATAACACGTAAATTAAAGATGAAGTGGTCAGAAAAAATAAAATAATTCGGGCAATTATAATTTTTATAATTTTCAACGGTCTAGGGGAGGGTGGCGAAGTAGTCCTGTTTATGCATTCATATAATGATGACCAGGGTAAGGAAAGTGGTTGTACAAATTTCTTCTGAACACCGACAGATTTGGCTTCTTCAGGTTAGTGGATTCCTATTGCTTCAGCAGTCATGTGTAGAAGACGAAATCGTAGAGCAAAATTAAGATTAGTCGAAATGCGATAAATAATTTTAAATGTGCTGTATTAACGTCCACCTTATGCTCACTATCTACAAGGTGTGCTAAAATAGAGCTAGCTACGAATAGATCTTGTTTCTCACTTGCTTAACCATGCTGCAGGATGATGTTCGGAAATAGGATGATGAACCTGCCTAATTGTACACCCAATGTAGCTGGCTTCGCAGCTGCAGTCAAACTGGTAGATACACATAGAGGAGGAAGAGGCAAATTTACGTAGTTTATTCTTTATTTCTCGAACATAGAATAAAGGGGGTGGTTGTGAAGAGACAACGTACCGCCTCTGCTGCATAATAATTTTTTTAGTTGTTTCGTTAGGGCAGTATGCTTATTGTCCTTTCTAGAAATTCATTCTTCTGCTAATAAGTGGTCAGCACAAGTGTGTACATGATAATCAGTCTTTAAATGTTTCACTTCCTTCTTGTGTATATCCCTCATAATACTTGAATGGATCAATAATTCAATGTCATATTTTGTAAGATAGATAGATAAGATAAGCTTTATTCCAAATCAGTACTTGTGATACAGAATGGAATTCTCAGCATTTTTACTACAATATTGCATCCAGTTAGTACATTAACAATAAATATAGTTCTACATAGATTAAGGTTATCTCAGTCAGTTTTGACAACAACATATTAGCATGTCGGTAGCAAAGCCAAAATTTAAACAGAGTGTTTGAAGGTGTTAGAAAAGTAGATACTACTAGCATATTTACTGGCGTAAGTGATAGCAAAAAGGTCGAGGTATACAGAGTGTGAAAGAACTAACAAGAATGTTTTAAGTAGAGTTTGCAAGGAAAAGAGAAACAAAACAACACCTGACAAAAAAAGGTAGAGAGAAAACGGTGTACCTGTAAATGATGTGAGTTGGAAAGACAAGATCCATTGGTTCTACTGACTATTTAATAAGTTAAACGTTTCACACCTAATGCTTTCTTTATCGCACAGAACACGTGCTAGGTATGGTATGGATGAGTTTTTGTACTTGCTAGTGCGGGCATATGGTTTCCTATATAGGCTTCTGGTTTTGCCTGAAGAGATACATGGGGAGAGTTGTGAATGTAGAGGGTGTATTTAAATATATATTCAAATATTTATATTTAAATACAATGACATTTTAAGAAAAGTCAATTGGTGAATGACTACAACTCACTTCATCCAGGTGGTCAATTGATGAAGCAAAGTGGAATACATAGAAAAAAGAAACAGAAATTAATAATCTATTTAATTAATTCTTTGATTAATTAATTGGATAAGTGAACTGAAACACTGAACTTTTGCACGTGTATATGACGTGTCTATTAGTTAGTTAGAGAACTATTGAAAACC